GAAAGCAGGTATAAAAACATCTTAGGTACGTATTATGGAAATTGTTGAATATAATATTAACATTATTATTTTCAAAGATGTTTTCCCAGTTTTCCCAACTTAATAATTTTTTAAATTCTTCACAATTGTTCTTATTTATACTTCTTATGAAGGTAGAGCCCAGAACTTTGTTTGGCACAGGAACATTCTTGAAAGTAATGACCTGCGCATCGTGGTCCGATAGCCCATTTATACATGGCTTAATGCTATAGCTACGTCTGTTATCTATAAATATATTATCTATTAGCGAGGCCGAAGTATTAGTAATTCTTGTAGGAAATTTGACACTATCTTTAAGATTATAGGTACTTAGTAAAACTTCTAGTTTTGATTTTCTGTTATTATTTTCCAAATAATCAATGTTAAAATCCCCACATATTATAAATTCAACATTAGATTTCTGGAGAGAGTTAAGGATAAAATCCAGTTTGACCATAAAAAAGTCAAAATCACCTATTGGGGATCTATATATACATAAAACTATTATCCTTATTTTATTAAATTCTGTTTTAATAGCTACTATTTCAATATCCTTTTCTTTTGAAAATTTTAGAACATTAATCACAGTGAAATTATAATCCTCATTAATGAATATACAAACACCTCCATTTTTGTGCTTCTTCCTACAATAGCCTGCGCAAAATTTGTAGTTGGGTATGTGAATTCCCTCCATCTCGTGGACTTTTAAATGGTGTTCCGATAGACATATTATACTAGGTTTCTCATTTATTAAAGATAAAGTTAACTCATTAATTTTATCTTTCAAACCCCTTATATTTTGATGAAATATCCTGAGGGGGGTGTTTAAATCATCACTCCTTTTAACCCTGTTAATCACTGTTGTCATTTTGTATGGTTGTGCAGGTACATTGTTCCTCATGCCCTGCTAGAGCAAGCCCTGTTAAGACCCAGGGACAGAGCTGCTTTACTAGACCCAAGCCTGAGCTAGCCATCCCATTACCTATCCTTATCTGAAGACATCCTACAAATTTCTAGCCACCATTGCCTGGTGACTAATGGTGCCCAAAAGACAAGTCCTTCAGCTTTCCGAATGAATCATCTCAACACCTATCGAAGGGAAGGAGATGAGGATAAAGCCATTGCAGGTAGAGTTTTACAACTGCAGACATAGTGGCAACCAGCAAGCAGTTACAAGGTGGCATTCAATGTGTGACTGCAGCAGAGAAGGGGCAAAGGGATCTGTTGCAAGTGGCCTTTACATGCAGTGCCCTCCTCCCAAACTCACCTGAAAAGAATGTGAAATGTGACCAAAATATTGTCTTAATAAACCTCTGAACTCCCTGCGTTGCAAGTACAGTGACATTAATGTGTCATTTCATTCATTTTAAGTAAATCAGTTCCCATGAACCCGTTTGTGTGAATTTCAGTATTAATTACATCCTTGTATACAAATGTGTGTAGTGTATATGTCTGCTTCACACTTATCTGGGTACTTGGCAGGGTGATGGGAATTATAAATTCTTTGTAAAAGCTTTCAGAGTTTCTTTAGAATTGAACGAGTTTGTTGTTGGTTATACATTAGAATCTGTGTGCTAAATTGCTAGTTACTAGTAAATAAAGTAGGTAATCCGTGATAAGTTAGCATATCAGGTGTACTGGAGTATGCTGAATGACTTTCTCCTTGAATGTTTTTCAGAATTTAATTGTTGATAAATTTTTGTTTCTTTGAGAAGTCTGCTGTTTCACTCAATCTACTTGTTGTCCCACAGCTGAAGAGGAGCAGCAGTGCAGAAGTAACAAATACTGAAGGAATCCTATCATCAAATACCAATTTCCTAAGTAACTCTTACTAGAAATGCAATTGTAATTTTCTCCAGTATTTCCTATTGCATTATCATGAAACTTGTATGGGTTTCAATGAAGTTACGGGTCCTTATGTATCATATTTTTGTATTTAATTTCCCCCACTTTGCTGTTATAGCAGAGATGTCACTAATGGGCATGTCTGACTGTCTTACCATCCAATGAATCATCTGTTTAACTGTCTAAATTATTAACAATAATAGCAATAGGAAGTGGAAGTTGAACGGTACTGATACCAAAGCCCTTCATCGAATATGTCTTTGGCCAGTTGCATCAGTCATCCCAACATCTACGTCTTGTTGATCCATCTTAATTTTATTTTTCCTTCCTTTTTTCTATTTTTCAAGATGTCTTCCAAGTACAATTGTGTATTCATTCCATGTCACCAATGATGTGATGTGTTACCCTAGCATCCTATGTTTTGGCACCTTTCCAATACTAGATGACATGTACTGAGAAAGTTTCTCATTATGTTAATGTCCTTAATTGTTCACATGTCATTCCTGTTTTGTCATAATATTTTATTCTCATGAGAAAGATTGATTTCTGATGACCTTTTTAATATCTGATGATTTCCCTGTGATCAACTGGGTCTTCCCACCAAACGTTTTAGTCTTAAACATGTAAGTATGAAGCATAAACAATTACATTACATTATCTTAGGATTAAGGAGAGTTTGTTGTAAGGAAACTTTGTGTATTCTGAAGTACAGTTTGTCACTACTGTTGTATTTACATTCATATTATACAGCTTCCTGTCAAATATAAGTGGTGCTGTATGCAATGTATGTTGTTGTGGGTACAAGAGTGAAGAATGGATTAGATCTTAAAAGTGTATATTTCCTCTGATACACCAGGGATTCTCACTTAATTTTTCAGTCCTACATGTGGAAGTATGGAGTGTAGAGCATCATGCAAATCATGTTAATATGTTGACAAATATTCCTTTTGCAAGTATTTGTTTTGGATTACAGAGTTGCTTCAGATCTTCTGATTGCTCTGAGATGCATTAAGCATAGTTCTTATGTGGTCTTAGGCATCAATATGCTGTGACCCACTGATGTGCTTTCTTGTGTAAAACTAGGTAAGTATATGTATATAAAGCATTTCTGGGCACTTTGTTTTTGTTGCTTGTTATACATCATTCATAATACTTTGGTGGTGCATCTTCAGCATATGTTGGTTAATTATATTAGTAGCGCTGTGTATATTTTTGATTAATATTGTTGCATCTTGACATGTACAATATTGTGCGACTATAAGAGTCTTGAGATTGTATTTAGAAACTATTGTCTATTTGTTGTGTCTTATCATTGTATTACACTGAGATGCTTCAAGTATACTTGGTTTTATCTCATTTGAGGAATTTATATTCTATGGTTTGCTGACATTGTGTGTTTTTGTGTTATCACCAAACAGATTGTATACCCACAAAAGTGTAAAGGTTCAATTTATAAAATTTTGAAATAACTGAAATTTCTTTTTATGTAGTTTCAAGCTTAAACTGTAAACAAAAGTCGCAATATAGATATCGGTGATGGGAACATGTGTTTAATTGAAGTTTACCCAGCTTCAGTGGCTGAGTTACATGACGCCAACATTTCCCACCTATAGCGCTATTGGGTATGAAGAACATTGTGATCGATTGTGATTGTGATTGATTCAGATTAGCGTTAGCGAGCTTTTTTTTTTATTGTAAGAAAAAAAATGTAAATATAAATTAGCGAGCGGCATATGTAAGACATCTGTCGTGAATAATGGGAATGATTTACATCTTAGATTGTACTATATGTCGCCGGTGCATATTGGTATTATGTGCAACCTGCGCACGTTAGTCGATGTATCGTTAAGATCGTTAAGGACGTTGAAGAAGAGACTGCGTTTGATGTTTTGGTTTTATGTTACCGGAATTTCAGGAAATTTGATGTTTGCGTATGTTATCTTCGAGTATGATAAAGACCGATAAACACTAGTTAATATAAGAACGACGTTCCAACGTAGGAATATCGTATAACTTGTCATGTTTTTGTTACATGATAACTGTTTGCATAGGTAGATAGAGTTGTATAAACGTGAAATTTGAACGTTTTTGATACGTTCGGAGTTATTTTATGTAGGTTGTTACTATCAGTATGAAGCGTCAGATGAGTAAGGTCTTAGCTGTGCCCAGTAAATGACCGTAGGTTTTAACTGTTCTTATTATTGGTGCCAAGTAACCTTAAAATACAGGGAATTTTAACGCAACTTCTGGCGTACAGTTTGAAATTTAACGTAATAATAAAATATGTGTCGCATAGACGTATTTATTGTTGCTGTTACCCTGTGGCTGACAGCGTTTGCAAGTTCATTAACTCCAGAAATTGTTCAGTATAGTGAGGAAGAAAGCAGTATAGTACCGATCGTACAGAGTGGAGAATATGGCACATTGTATAACAAGGTAGTTAACAGTGCAGTGGAATACATATTTGTGTTCAATAAGACTGAGGTAAGTCATTCATCAGACCATACAAAGGATAGACTTGGAATATATTTAGTTAGTGTTGAGTATTTTATTTAAATTTATGGAATTTTTGCTCCAAAAATTTAAGATTTGTTTAATTTCTTCTAATATGACAATGTTTCTAGGTGCCTCAAAAACAGCCAGCTCGCATCATGGTGGAATGCAAGAATTCAAGCAGGAGTTACCCTGTTTTGGTTGTTGTACGACACCAAAAAGGCGTGCTGTCATGGCAGCTGCCTCTTGTAGTTGATTCTAGGACAAATCTGTAAGTAAATTACATTACTTTCAGACTAAATTTAACTCCAGATATTTGCAAATTGTGTTCCATCAACATGAAGCTAGTGTGATAGGGGTCTAGCCATGATTTAAGCTTATTTTTATATGAAAGCTTCTGGCCATTTTTCTTCAGTGTGATCATAAAATTATGTAAAGAAAACTGTGTAAAATGTGCAGGTACATTAATGTGTTTGTTATCATGGCTTCACAAAGAAGGTGTAGGTATCTTAGAAGTTGTAAAGTTATAGAGCTTGTAATGAATAAGACATTGAATGAAGTGGAAGAAGGTACCAGTGATGAAAGTTGCAGCAGTGAGGAGTTTCATTTCATTTCATTTTTATTATCATTCAACAATCCATACATACAGGTATTACAACCATTTGGATAGGGAAATTGTCAGTTTTACATCTAATTCTCATGCATATCTTTACAGTATACACTGTACCACCCTAATATAGGGGGTCTGTCATCTGAATAATATTATCTAGATCTAGTTACCATTAATTTCATTGTCTTTACACAGATACAACAGATTAATCAGCTATATATTACATTTACACACTTGATGAATCAAAAGACGTAAATTCATCTACAGAATAAAAGGAATGTTTCAGCAAAAAAGATTTTAATTCCCTTTTAAATGAGTTAAAATTTTACCTTTGTTTTATTTGATTGGGGACCTTATTATACAAACTAATTCCCATATTTATCACACTCCTCTTAAAAAGAGCTGTATTACAGTGCTGTACATGAAAATTTAATTTTCTTCGTGTGTTATAATTATGAATGTCTGAATTTATTGCCATAAAAGCCTTGTATTTTTTGATAAAGCATGTCACCTCCAATATATACAGAGAAGGCAATGTTAAAACATTGTAATCTGATTCTAATGAAAGCATAGAGCCAATGGCGAAGTGCAGAACCTGTCAAAGGATGTTGGTTTTATGTGGAAAAGGAAAGCACATTTTACCCCTTGTACATTTCACTTTGACAACTCACCCTGCAGTGTATATGTAAATGTAAATCAACAGCCGAAAGAAATCAGAGTTTTCAAAGCCATTATGGATGGTATCTTTATACATACAGTAGTCACAGAAACAAGCAGGTGCTATGTATAGGTGTCTCAGTACTGTAATGCTAATGGGGCATGCAGTAAAAAACCAAACGAAACTGCAGTGGCCCAAGGATAATGTAATTTAAGCCCCACATTTCAGTGCGCTTTTCTCCCAGGACCGATATGTACTCATCTGATGCATATTGCACATCTGGAACAGTGATGAGCAAGGAAATAGTAAGATTTGAGGCTTTCACGGCGGTGACTATGAAGAAAGCAGTCTTCTGGGATTTGGCACCGTGTATATGTGGTGTTAACCGACGTTTCGGAGGAACGTATCGCCCCCATCTTCAGGGTTGAAGAAAAAGTTTAAGAAATCTGCAAGCGACAACACCATGAGAAACGGTAAAGCAGACTGCTTTACCGTTACAGGTACAGAGAGGAAAGAGGCACTTTGTTTAATTGAGTAAAATCATAATACAGTGAAATCTCACTAATTTGGACAACTGCTTTTCTTTCTTTTGTTTTTCTTTTTTTTTTGGCACATCGTGACTTTCATGAACACATTGCCACTACCTAAAATGTTTTTAAGAATGTCGTAAAAACTTAAAATTTTTACATTTTATGACAAGTACATTTATTTCATGATATGCAATCTAATTTTCAGAATAAAGTTGTATTACCTAAAAAGACATGTCGAAGTCCATTTTGTAACTTACCTGAATATATTTTCAGTAGCTCTTCTATAATTTGGACTATCACTAATTTGGGCGAGGGTGTTGCTCCCAGTTAGTCCAAATTAGTGACGTCTTCTGTACGGAATTTGTAGACAAAGGAGAGATTCAGGTGAACATGAGAGCATGAGAGATTGTATGAAGTGGCAGAAAGATCATTCACTTATTGGACATGGTCATCCTAAATTTGTACCGGGTCTTCATCGTGGAAAGAGGACAGGAGACTCAAGTTACTGATTTAAGGTTGAACCTAATCTGGGAGATCCTTGAGGAGTTTAATACTGCCAGAGATTCACCAGAAGGAGGAAGACACCAGCTGTAGGAAATCCACTTAAATTGATGAGCTGATGTTTTCCGTAGCCTGTAGTTCTTAGATACAAGCACAAAAGAAAGCAGCGAAAGTTCCGTTAGTACAACATAAAGGCATGAGTGGAGGAGACAGGAATAGCACTGTATGTGCGCTGAACATGATGTTGGACTGTGCCTGTGGCTGTTTCAAGGAATACCATACTTGGAAGGGGATTGTAGTTTGAGGTTCTCACAGTTATGAAGATGTTTCCTTGGATTTGATGCCACACAGTGCAGTCGAATTGTATCATTGTTTCATATGTGTTTGCTTCCACCATCTTCAGTGCTGAAGAATCGAATCTTCTCCTGACAACCGTAATATGTATCAACCTTATGGAACCTGCTGTATTACGTTGGATTATATATATGGAAGAATTGAATATAATTTTCTATTGTATTTTAAAACTACATGTGATTTTGAAAATTATTAAATTGCAGTTAATTTTGTGAAGAAGTATGTATTGTAGTGAAACATATATCTCAGTTTCATGAATGTCTGTGTAATACTTCTTTAGAAATTAATTGTTATTATCAAGGGAAAGAACTGTCTCCCCAAGGACTTAACAGTTTCCTATTATTATTCCAGCAGGCTTTATGATGATACATTTATGAAGATGTAATTGTTAAACAGATAAATGTTCTCTGTAAGACATGACATGTAACATCTAGTGAAAGAGATATAAATCAGAGTGTTGCTTCAGGATTTGTTGTTTCCTTATTAATTTAATGTGTATATAGTACATATTGTGAAGACATTCCGGTCTAGAGAACTGAAATTAACAGCCATGGGGATTTGTTGCACTGACCATGCGACACCCTCTATCCAATAAAGTTGGCACTAACTTTGCTGACAAGTGGCGGCTGCTTGATCGGTATAGTTCGATTGCAGACTAAAGCCACGGAGTTTATTTTGTGTTTGTGAAGATATTTTATTTTGGAGTTTAATGCTATACTGAAATATAGTTGATTCATGGATTTTTTATTGAAATGCTGGGAATGTTTAAAACACTGTGTTGATTCACAGAGATACTGGGTTTTCGGACTTTATTCATTGTCCAGATTCTAAATAACTTAGAAAAAACACAACGTTTCAGAAACTGGATCTGTTTCTGTCCTCAGGTGAGGGAAGACGCCTACTCTGTTGGGTCCCTTACAAAGAGCTAGCCTCAATCACTGGACCTTTTTTTCCCCCCTCCACAGTGGTGAAGATACGCTGTTGGGCGGAACTGTTTACAGATGACCTGAGAAAATCCTCCAGTTGATCGATTTCGTATAGTTGGGAAGTCTTCTTCTGCCAGTGATAGTGTAACCTATCCCTGAGAAGTGCCTGACTGGCACATAAGGCAATTTTGGAGGAGCGTTGACTATTGAAGAGCATCTTTACAGAGAAGGTTTTGAGGATGTCCTGAGATTTGCATCTCCTGAGGAAAGTTATATGATTGAGGGTTTTAGCTAACTGAATTTTCAGGCGTTCTAATTTTCTAAAGGAAGGATATATACCGGGTCCATACCTGTTGTACAAGTAGATACTATAGGGTTCTGACGATGGTGTATAACACACAGAGATACTGGGTTTTCGGACTTTGTCAATCGTCCGGATTCTAAATAACTTAGAAAAACTGTGTTGATTGTTTCAGCTTCGAATATGTGCACACTTCCCGCACGTTATGCCCCAACAGCAATTATGATTCTCTGAATATCCAGAGAGTTGGAAATGTTAATGATGTCATAGTCAGTGTGTCCACTGCCAGGCCATACAATCTTAATTTCTCACTACTTGTCAGTCATGAGACTAATTTCTCCATCAGGTGAGTGTAAATTGAAGACTACTTATTGAAATTTGTGTACTATAGAAGTGTCAGAGGTTACCTCATCATCATCGTCAGTAATCTGTCAAGACGACAGGTCCACAGTCTCTTCCAAAACAATTCCTCCATTTAATGTGATCTATCATTTAACGTGATTATCTATCTAGATAATCTTCTCTCCGCCCCTCTATCTTTCCTTCAATAACTTCTTTTAGAAGGCAGTTTCTGCGTAAAACATGACCAATTCAATTAGCCTTCCGTTTTCTTATTTCATGTAGGATATTCCTCTGCTCACTGACTTTATTTAACACTTCTTCATTTCTCACATAATCGGTCCAACTGATCTTCTCCATCCTTCTCCAACACCTCATTTCGAAACTTTCCATATGTTTCTGATCTACTGCCCTAAGTGTCCATGTTTCAGCCCCATACAGAGCTATGCTCCAAATGTAGCATTTCACTAGTTTCTTCCTCAAATTTAAGTCCAATTTGCTGGTAAAAAGATTCTTCTTCTTGCTAAATGCAGCTTTTGCCATGGCAATCCTGGATTTAATTTCACAAGTACACCTTCCATCATCTGTTAACAAGCTACCCAAATATTTAAAACATTTCACATTCTCCACTTGTTTTTGGTCTATCTTTATTGTGACTGGGGTTGGTTGTCTCGAAATTTTCATTACTTTTGTTTTCTCCACATTCATTTCCATGCCATAGCACCTTCCAATTTCAATTAGTCTATCAATCATGCCCTGTAGCACAGTTTCTTCCTTAGCCATTAACACAAGGTCATCTGCATATTTCACAGTTTGAATAATTTGCCCTCCTACTTTGAAGTCACCGAGCCCATCCAGAGCTTCCTTGGTAAGGCATTCGCTGTACAAGTTGAACAGAATTGGTGATAAACAGCATCCTTGTCGAACTCCTCTTCCAATCTGCACACTTCCTGTCTCCCCCCTGTCCAGTCGTACTCTAACTTTCTGATCCATGTACAATTTGCTAATCAATCTTCTTTCATGCCAATCGATACCTGTTTCTTTCAGGATCTGCATTAATTTGGTCCAGTTTACCCGGTCAAATGCCTTCTGCCAGTCTATGAAGCAAACACACAGTTCTTCATCTATCTCCAAAGTTCGTTCCGCTATAATTCTCATCATCCCAATTGCATCCCTGGTTCCTTTTCCTCTTCTAAATCCAAACTGATCTTCTCCAAGTACATCCTCTATTTTCCTTTCAATTCTTCTTTTAAGTATCTTTGCTATTATCTTTGCTGTATGTGCAATAAGGCTTATTGTGCGATGGTCGCTGCATTTTGTAGCTTTTGTCTTTTTCTTTAAGGCAATCATTGTAACTTCTGTAAAGTCCTTGGGCCACTCTCCACTTTCATATATGGTGTTCATTAGTTTTGTCAGTGTTTTCAAACCACCTTCTCCCAGTAACTTGAGCACATCTCCAGGTACATCATCATCTCCTGTAGCCTTTCCCTTCCTCATTTCCTTGATAGCTTTTTCCACCTCACTTTGTAAAATATATGGTCCTTTCTCGTCTGTATCTACTTCTTCTTCCGGTTCAACTTCTAAGGTTTCTGGCCGATTAGGTCGATCATATAGTTCTGAAATATAATTTTCCCAAATTTTCAGCACTTGCCTCTGATCTACTATTCTATTCCCCTGGGAGTCTTCGATGCCAACATTTTGAATCCCATGATTCTCTTTCCATCCTAGTTCTTTTGTCTTCATGTACATCAAATCATAACGGCCTGTTCTTTGAAATTCCATAATCTCATTACATATCTTCTCAAGATATTCCTTTTTGGTCCTGTCCGTGGCTCTTTTCAATTCATTCCTCAGTCTCCTGTATTTCCTCCTGCCTTCTTCATTGTTGACATTCTTCCATTTCCTTCGCTCCTCCACTTTACTCATCATCTCCTGTGTAACCCATGGTTTTCTTGCTATCTTCTCAACTTTACCAACCAAATCACTGATAGTATTTAACATGCATTCTTTTATATTGTTCCACTGCTCTTCAGCATTTCCGCTTTGACCTTCAATTGCACCGAGCTTCTCTTCTAGGGTCTCTTGCATGCTTTGTAGAGGTTACCTATATGATCTTAATAGTGTGCTTCCTGTTGTATGTCATAAATAATATATATAAAAGTATATAAGGTATGCAGTCTACACAACAATATTCTGTATTTAAAACACAAAGAAGATGCCTCTGCATCAACATTTGCTTTTATTATGTTGTTGTTGTTGTTGTTGTTTTTTTTTTTTTTTACAGAGGCAACATGTTTCGACCCTTACACTGGGTCATCATGAGGCATACAATGCTCCAGTTCCAATTTTTAATTTTAAATTTTATTATCTTAGGATTTTCAGTTTTCAAATTTTGACCAAGACTTAATACATGAATTTATGTATTTAAATAATTTCAAGACACAATAAGGATCCGTATTCAAAGAATTAGATGATAATTAATTGCAGTTCAACAGCTGTACTACTGTACATTGTCATGCAGTGTTTAGCACTCACTGTTCATTCTTGGAGGTCTTGAATTCAAATTTTGCTTGGAGACTGGTTATCCTGGTGGAGGTTTTTCATAGTTGTCCTCAGTCCCTACAGACATATGACAGGATAGTAATCTTATAAGGACAACGACCAATTTTTCTACATTTGTCGCAGTTCATTACTTTTTAATCATCCCATCCTTCAACAGTGTACAGTCTGAGCAATTGAAAGCATTGTTCAATATACCCAGAACAAAGAATATTAGCCCAAGCATGTGCTTGAGTAGGCACAGCATACTAGTGACATCTGTTTTAGTTCCTGTTCTAGATGTGTTTTATATCCCTTCAGTCAGCTAATTTCTATTGTGATCAAGGCAGAAATTTGTTCACTTGGATTGCGATGTTGAAAGGATTCAATTATGAAGGCACTGAAGCTCAAGGTGTTCTGTTTCCAGCCTTCCATGCCAAATTTATCAACTGTTAGACTTTTTCAGTTACTCATATTGCTGAAAATTCTGCATTTTGAAATGTTTAAGATGTATGTTTTATGTTGTTGACAGGTTGTCTGAAGAAAGGCATGTTCATGTGTCACCGGCTGATCCTCAGTTTTATGCCTTCAGTTTCCCAGATGATGTAGAAACTGTTTTATTGAGAGTTGACTCTGATGATGACATCTGTATGACTGTCTCCATTCAGAATAGGAGTGTGAGTTATGTTGTGATGAAAATTTTGACTGTAGATAGTCTAGACCATTGCCATGTAAATATTTGGATCTGGGAGATGCCACGCTAAACTAATTTTCACAGTAATTTCAAACAAATGTAAACTATTTTAACTGTTAGTGAGAACTGACCGCCTCTGGGGTCTAGTGGTCAGAGTTCATGGCTACAGATCCAGCGGTCCCTGTTTCGATTCCTGGCGCTACCAAATTTTCTGAGAAGTATTGGGTCTGGAACGGGGTCCACTCAGCCTTGTGAGGATAATAGAGGAGCTATTTCAAGGAAATGGTGGCTCTGGTCTGGAAAACTGAGACTAACGACCGTGGGGATCCATTGCTCTGACCACGCAACACCCTCTATCCACTAAAGTTGGCACTCACTTCTCCAACAAGTGGCGGTCACTCGGTCGGTATAGTTCGCTTGCAGGCTACAGGCCATGGAGTTGGTGAAAACTGATATGTCAGGCTTCTGTACATGTGGCAATATTCACTTAATTAGTAGCATATGGTCATTTTCTTGTAGTGATGTGCATTTAAGTTAGTAATGATAGATGTATTTAAATAGCTAAATAGGTAAAGGTAAAGAGGTAGAGTGTTCCTTTTGCTTAATCAGTTAAGCAGCTCACCAAGAAGTTTTATGGGTGAGCGGATGTATAGCTTCAACGTTATTGACCTTGACACTAGATGGATTTGAGTGGTCAGCTTCACACCCCAACCACTTTACCCTGTTGAAAGATCCCCCTCTACCTGTCATATAGGAGGCTGGGTGGGCCCCAGACTTGGTCTGGATACGGGACACTGGATTAGAGGAAAACCTCTTTCCCCTGCTGGGAATTGAACCCTGGCCATTCGGCTTGTCCCTATGCTGGCTGAGCTATTCTGGCTTCTTTGAAATAGTAAAACATGATGATCATTATTGAAGGGGATCTCAGATCAAATGATAAATCCTTATGCAGAATAATTAATTTTAAATCATCTTTTAAGAAGTTTCCCTGTTTCATAATCTCAGTTATTCAATTTTTCTCAAGAGTGTCGTAAGAAGGTTTCATTTTGCTTTGACATGTCAGTACATTTGTGGCTTACTTTACTTGTAAATCTCTTATGAGCAATATGGCACAGGAGCTTCTGGCCTGAAGATGGAGGCATTAGGTTTTGTCAAAAATATTGGTGACATTCTACCATTCTGCATAGCATCTTGTCCCAGAAGACAGTAATCTCTAATTTTTCTGAATTTCACAATTTCACGCCATTGGAAGCTGCTCTGATGTCTGTTTTCAAGGATTCCAGCATGGTGGTTCTCTAGACTTTTGAGTTTAAGCATCACCAAGTAGTAGTAAGTGTAGTAAATAAAAATGTACTCATAAAACATCTTTTAAAAATATGTGAATTTGGTTAAGGTCGTTTGTGAATGTTGATTGCTTTGTAGATTATCTGATGTCATTTTTTTCAACTGCAGAGATTATTTAGCTTCAATTGAAATGGAAATATAGCTTATTTATTAAATTTATGGGTTTCTGGAGTTTTATGTCGTGTAGTTTGTCAGATAGGTACTATTGTTTTGGATTAACCTTTAGCCTAGAATATATTTTTTTTTTATTGCTAGTGAGGTGGGACTAAGTCCCTTGTACTGCAGCCACTTCTGGCCTATTGTACCAGCCCCAGATATAGGTGAGGGTGATTGTGGAGCAGTTGGTGGAATGAATATTTGCAGGGGAAACAGAAGTACTCTGGGAAAACCCACCCCAGTGCCACTTTGACCGCCACAAATCCCACTTGACCAGACCCGGGATCGAACCCGGGCCACCACGGTGGGAAGCCAGCGACTAACCGCTTGAGCTATGGTGCGGCCTTTAGCCTAGACTGTAAGTACTAAGGCTAGGAAGGAGGAAGTTACTGTTGATTTTAAGGTTCTATTCCAGCATGGAGAGACTGAAGAAAACTTATGATGTACCTTGAATAATATGCTGATCTTCTGGGTTCTAATGCTGTGTAGTTCAGTAGAAGTATACTGTTATTTCAGGGATGAACCATCTATGTCATCAGGGTCATAGTACTGTGAGAAGCTCAAATCCAACAAGTAGGATCTTAATTTTAATAGCTACTAGTCCGGCTAAGTTGAGATCAAAGTGAGGTTGCCCATAGACACAAGTATAAAGTTTTAGGACTGATTTGGTATATTTTGCAGTGTCCTATATATGATCTGGAGCGGAATGTCCAGTTTGAGGGTTATTGGCAGACTATGAACAGACGTGGAGGTATCACCCTTACTGTAAGTTAAAGTTAAATTTACACTGCTCATAGCGAAATGTTATTAATCTGAAACTAAGTACAGATTAGTGAACTTTGACTTAAATCTTTCACTTCTCACTTTGTATATCATCACTGGTCATATATTATTATGCAATAGAGATTTTAAATCAGTAGTGAAAGCCTTAATGTGTTTAGGTTACTTCTTTGGATTGCATGTTACGGCAGTTGACATACGTTTCCCATACTGCAACTTTGCTTGATCCTACTTGTACGTGAATTGTGTTATGCTGTAGTAATTGCACCATTATGTAGTTTCATCATTGCTGTCACTTATGTCTGTGCTTTTGTTCTCCGAAAAAGGGTTGCATGTGACAAACGTAATACTGCAGAGTACTTCAGCTTCACACACCTATGTAGAAAATTTGTTGTGACTGCAATGAAATGGGCAGGGCTTTGTGTGCAGTAGAATTAATGCCTTGCAGAGTGTATGATGTAGTTGGAGGCATTTAGTTTAATTAACATTTTTTTCCAAAGTTCATTCATATAGTGGTGTATTTCACATTTATTTCAGAAAACAGCATTTCCTTTAGGGTTTTTTGTGGTATTCGTCGTGAAGGGTGATGACTGGGACTGTTCTGGTTATTATGAAACTGTGACAGTTGGGCGTAACAAGTCCCTGAAGTTCTCTGTTGAACGCAGCATTACATATTTTAACTATATCATATCCACCGTTGGCACAGTGGTAGTGTTCATGCTGTTCTACATCTTTTTTGGTGTGGTATACGTAATCAAGTGAGTATAAGTTTCATACTGTGGTGATTGTAATTTGTTGGGAGAATTTTGGCTGAAAGACATAGCGAGACTTCAGTTTTGCTCTCAGATTTTACTTTTTTTCTTCTTCTAATTTTATGCCTTTTTTTTCTTTATCTCTTTCCAAGTTCCTGTTAGAACAGTATTAAATTGTAACCAATTGTTCGTTTCATCTAGATTAGTGCTGTTGCCAAATTTGTTCTGTTTTCAGTTAGTTATTTAGTTATGCGTGTTTCAGTGGAAAGTAGAAAATGAACATTTCTCTATGATTTTTAGGTAGAGTGTAAACAACTCCTCTTGGCGAGACTTGTTCATAATTTCATTTCTGTGTTTGTGAGTGTGTTTCTGCTCCAAAACTACTTGAATGTATTTGAATAAAATGTTTTTTGTCCTAAAAATTTTCAAACAAATTCCATTTTGTGTTACTAGTCTGTTGTGACTTCTGCTGTATATAAGAGTATATAGTATATACCTTCTTGTATTTTAATTTGCATGTAATGTATGAAGTAATGAATGAATGTATAAGGGGTGGGCCTTCTTGGCCCTTGCACAGTGACCACAGTGATCTCTTGTGCCTCCCATTCTGATTATCCCCTCAACAATCTTGTGCTTCGAATGAAGCATAGGATTTTGTACGTAAGGACGTCAAAATAGTCACTTGGTTCCATAAAGTATTGACCCAAGTGACACAATCTTAAATGAGCTAAGGCCTCGTTTTCTTCTTGGCACCTCTCACAAGTTGGAACGTTACTTTGTCCCAATTTGAAGAGGTGTCCTTTGAGGTGACAGTGTCCGGTAAGTAGTCCTACCACCCATCGTAGCTGGTTCCTGTTTAACTTCAACAGTTCCGTCACTCTTTTAGTAGAGGGCCCTCGTATGAGTCCCTTTGCTTGCTTGAGTCCAGTTAAGGATCCCCAGTATTTCTTGTGATTCATATTTGTCCAGTCCCTGATTGCCTTCCTGGCGACTCTCTATAGAGATGCCACAGGCTGGTTCAGGTCCTGTGAACGGATGTTGAGCGCCAGTCTTGGCCAATTGGTCTATTTCATTTCCAGCAATACCCTCATGCCCCGGCACCCATATCAGNGTCACTCTTTTAGTAGAGGGCCCTCGTATGAGTCCCTTTGCTTGCTTGAGTCCAGTTAAGGATCCCCAGTATTTCTTGTGATTCATATTTGTCCAGTCCCTGATTGCCTTCCTGGCGACTCTCTATAGAGATGCCACAGGCTGGTTCAGGTCCTGTGAACGGATGTTGAGCGCCAGTCTTGGCCAATTGGTCTATTTCATTTCCAGCAATACCCTCATGCCCCGGCACCCATATCAGTTGTACCCTATTATGTTTGGCCAGTTCCGTGCGAGTTTGGTGGCAATCCCAGACCAATTTTGAGTTGACCTGGTGTTTGTCAAGCGCTTTAAGTGCAACTTGGGTGTCAGATAGAATGCAGATGTTCCTATTTCTGTAGTTCCTATTTAGATTCTCCATAATACATGCCTTAATGTCATATACTTCTGCCTGGAATACTGTTGTGTACTGCCCAAGGCTGGAACTAAGTTTCTGCCTCATGCTGTATGTAATGTAGGAGAACATGTTTAAACTTAAAATTACATACTGTTTTTAGATGTAATATTCTCTTGTGCTTTTTTTATAGTAGTAACTGTTTTTGGAAAATTTTATAATATGATTTGGAACTGATTGATGCAGATGATTGCTGTAAGCGTGTCTTCCCACTTCCTTGAAATTTTGTCTACGTAAATAATTGGTACTCTAATTACAATTGTCCTCTGTAGGAAACGTGGTCGGCAAGTGCTGGATAATGATGTGTTGGATGATGAAAGCATTCAGTCTCCTCAGTCTCCTGAAGGCCTGCCCAGCAGCTATGATCAGATTCATACTCCAGATGCCAGCAGTAGTGTGACCAGTCCAGGCTTTCTTTCTCCCAGACGTCACTCCGATTCATCATTAGATGAGACTGACATTGATATGCTCCATGATGCTGACAGTGACAAGAATGTCTTCAGGTTTTCAATTGAGCCAGCCCTTTACTATATACAGTAGAACTTGGTTATAACGTCATCAAAGGGACCTAAAAATAGTGTCGTTATAAACGAATGTCATTGTAACCGAAATGGGCACTTCCACAGTAGCCTTATGTTAGTCACGTAAAATTCTACCAAAAACCGAGTTAAAATGTTGCATTTTTTAGTGAAATACATAGTTAAGTACAGACTAACGTAACATTAACGTGGAATTGCCCAAATGTGTAATATCAAAGACATATTACAGCGCTTTTCACTGACAATTCACACCGCATTAACCGTTCAGCGTGGTTTGACGTGTATGTTTCGTCAGGTATTTAAATCGTCTGCGGGGGTTCGACATCTATGTTTCGTCCAGCTGCACACCCATAATAATTGATGGATTTGCTGTAGATTGTTAGATTTTTCACTGGCCTGTTGTCAGGAGTACCGTATTTAATGACACACGAGTTTAGCTGCGCTAAGTCATCATTACATATGCCTGTCT